AAGAGTTTAGATCAACAAATGGAGAATAGTATTGTGTGAGAAAATTTTTGATATCTAAGTGAAAATGACTTGTTTTAGAAAAGTGAACTTATGTCTTTGAAGTCAAAATTAAAGCGATTCAGATCGTCACTGCGATTTCATTATGTTGAAGTCTCTAAACATCTTTTGACTAGTAAGTATTATTTTTCATTTTGATTCTTCATTCCTTTGTTCATTTTTTTGTTCAAGTGAAAAATGAACTTGTGTAGAGGATTATTATGATAACTGGTAAAGGTTGGTTTCTATTTTGTTTTAAAGGTTAGAGCACAAAATCAATAAAAGCTTAGTTGGATATGCTTTGAATGCCATAAAGGTTAGAATTTATTGTTACGAATCAACCTCTTCTTTTTATACAGAGCATGTTTTTTAATTATAGTGCTAGCAAAGATTACCATCATAATGCTTTTAGGCTGATGTAGTGGAAGACTTTGTTATATGATTTGTTTTATTTTACCTAGTTCAATTTCATGAAGTAATTAAAATAAAGAGTTTGGCAAATGTTGATTTGATTATCATTGGAATTGGGTATGATGCAACTATTTTCTTAGGTTCAACTAACTGATTGGTTTAGTGTGGCAATATATATATTACGAAGTATCTGTTTTTTTTGTTGCTAATTTGTGTATTAAATTGGTGTTGCTAGTTGAGTATGGGGCTTTGGCTTATTTAAGCCTTTTGATGATGCAGTTGGAGAGATTTAACTAGAAGATCTAAGGAGAATCATGCAATTAAATTTGAAGCTTTAGGTTAGGATCCTTGAAGGGTCACGCATAAGAGTTTTTGGACACAAAGGTAACAAGCTGGCTGTTCTAGCAGAGGAAGGAGGGCAAGCACCAATTACTTTTTGTACTGTGAACTTCACAAATGACACTTTTACATTTTCATATAATACTTCTCTTGAGAGTACTGTTATATATTTGAACAATTATTTCATGGGTAGAATTGCAGGATGAACGTTAAGATGAAAAAAACTGGTGACACATTATTACTTTGAAATGTTCTAGAAGTGCCAAGTATTTGTATCAACTAGATAGTGAGACTTTGAGATTATTATACTATTTGAGCTATTTTTTAGCCTATTTGCTCAATGGTAGAGCATTGTGTGCAAAAGTGCACGAAGATGTGGGTTCGAGTCCCATATAGACTTTTTATGAATTTAAAATATTTAAAAATGTTAGTATATACAAAATTAGTTGGAACTGATATAAACGTTAGTTACTTGGTCAATCATTTTCCACACTTTTGTGTGCATATACTTTTTTTAAAACAAATTAATATTTGCGACACTTATATGTGTGGTGCCTTCCCAACACATGCAAGTGTTGCAAAAAAAATTATTACCCGCACATGTTAAGTGTGGTTAAAATATTAATTAGAAATACTTATTTAAAAGTGCGGCTAAAAATTGCCCACAGTTACGTAGCCGCACTTAGGTGATGTGTGGCAAAGTGTTTTTCCACCTTTATAAGTGTGGCGAACAACCATTTTAATTGCGCCAAAATACCAAATTTCTTGTAGTGTTAGACTATTAAGCCTGGAACTATTTTTAAAGTTTTGAGAAACCGTAATGTATTACTAGTAGTGTGTGTCACACTATTTGTTTCACGGTTATCTATAATAAGTAAAGAAAACTATTTTTAAGAGAATTGTGCGTAGTAAGCCTAGAACAATTTTAAAAGTTAAGAATACTCGTTTTAAACAGTAGTCTAGCTCTTAAGCCTAGATCTTTTTTAAAGGTTTAGAGTAATGGTAATCTTTTTTACAATGAAATTGGATACGCTTTCTAACTTTACTTTCATACTTTCAGACAATATATATGCAACAACCAAATAAACATTGTTTCAAACAATTATATGGACATGAAAAAAATAAACACTTCCATTGAAACGAAATAAAAAGTACATGGACAAGCTGGGTACTGTCCCACTACACACAAAGGGAATTTGGAACCCATACAATCAATCAATCTCACATCACAAAACCAAGAAACAATAAGAAGATGGCGAGATGCAAATAAGAGTACATTGGCTTGCTTCAATCCAAAGTAGAAAACAAACAAAACACAAAGAATGAAGCTCCATATTCTAAAATCACTCAAATTAAAGAATAAAGACCAAATCTTCAAGGTAGCAATGCCAATTACACAAAGATTGGTTTTTAGCCATGGTTTTACTCTCCCCAATGACTTAAGCTTGACCCTTTGCCTTTGTGGAACAGGGAACAACATCATCACCCCTCTTAGTGTTTCGAAGTGCTGGTTGCTTGGCCTCCAGGCTTTGGTGTGGCAGCATCACCATTACCATCAACAGCAGATTCATCACTCTTCATACATGGATCCTTGATCTACCATTGAAAACAACCAAGGTAATAATGTAACACCCTAATCCGTCCAGGTCTGCAGTCCCATTCGGACTAAAGTATTTAACTTGGTAATCGTAAAAATTTAAAACTTTTCAAACACACTTTATTAATCTCAGTAATATTTTTCATAACATATACAGTACGGAGTATTCAACAATATTTCGGAAGCGAATTTAATATTGACATATCATATATCATTTCAAACTTGTCACATCCATCCCGACAATCTCGCCCCATCTGCCGCCAGGATCACATTATGCTTTTTGTTTACCTGCGTGTAGCAAATAAAACACACTACACGCTGAGCGGTAAAGCTCAGTAAGCATATCTAATGCGTCGAACATCCATATAAACTGAATCTAAATTCATAATCAAATCATTTGATATCATGCACACAATGTTCATTTCAGACATTCACAGTTTTGGTAATGTTCAGTTCATATCAACACATTTTATTCAATTTAGATACTATTTCAATAGTGCTCTTAAATTATTCTTAATCTAAGGCCAGATCATAACAATGCTCTTAGCTATTCTTAGTCTAAGGCCAGATCATAATAATGCTCTTAGTTATTCTTCGTCTAAGGCCAAATCATAATTTCCATTGTTAGAATAATAGACCAACGCTAGAGGGGGGGTGAATAGCGTTTGATCAAGAAATCGCAGGAATTAAAAACAAATAAAAGAGAAGTAGAGAAAAGAGTAAAAGGCACACCAAATTTACACTGGTTCACCACAACTTGTGGCTAATCCAGCCTCCTGAGAGACTCTCTCGAGCTACACTACTTCCGTTAAGCTTATGGGTGCTTAACAAACCGTTACAACCTGAGAACTCGAGTCCCACGAGCCCTAACAACACTTGCTCGGAGATACCGCACTCCAAGACTTCAACCCGAAGGAAATAACCTTTCCTTCGTACAACCAAGGGAAACAAACTTCCCTTAATGTCTATAAAAACTAAGAACACTCGAGAACAAGGCTCTCTCAAAAGAGTGAATATGAGTAAAGTAATACGCTCAAGATCACATCACGAACTTCACAAAAATGGCTCTCGAAAAGCTATGAATAATGTATGAATAATATGCAATGAAAGAATAGGAGTTGTGAAGTAATGTGTTATGTAAAACCGACCCAAACACCCCATTTTATAGTAGAAAAATAGGCTCCAACGTATCAAAACATTTAAGGGGTAATTGGCACAATTTGTGGGATTTTATTAAATTTGGATCTGCTGAAATTCACACAGACAGCGCTGTCCTAGGCTTGAACATCGCTGTTCTAGGCCTAGGTTTTGAAAAATTGGAAGCAACGGTCATGCCAACAGCGATGTCCAATACCCCTACATCGCTGTTTTGGCTGTTGACTTCCAAACAAGGAAAGTTTTAGCCTTAAATTCCTTCCAACGGTCAGGTCCCTACATCGATGTTCATTACTTGAACATCGTTATTTAGGTCTGACTTTGAAGGTGGAAAGTTTGGCCTGACAGCGTTGTTGCTGGGTCAACATCACTGTCCAAAAACTTTCTGCCAATGTATTTGGTTTTGGCTTAGGTTGGACAGCGATGTAGGGTAGTCTACATCGATGTTCTAGATGTTTCTAGAAACCCAACCTTGGCTCAACAGCGATGTCTAACATCCAACATCGCTGTTGGAAGACTTAACGCCAAACCATGGCTTTCAGCTTCCCATGCCGGACAGCACTGTTGGTTACACCAACATCGCTGTTGGGTTGGTTTAGCCAGACCCATGGTTGGTTTAGTCATGCCGTTAGCCAATGACAGAAATGTAAGTTCTCCAAAATAAAAACCAAGTATTGAAAACATTTGTTTAATGCATTTTGCTAAGAAATCAAGTAAAACATTTTGAAAACCACGTCATTTAGTTGAAACCACGGCTAGCCAAGTTTACGCCGTTTTGCATGGTTTTCACTAAACGACCAAAAACGAGGGCTGGTTTTTGAAGCGTTTTTGTTGGAGAACTATTGAAATATGCCCAGAAGTAAAAACCAATCATTAAAAGTTGAAAACCACTTGGTTGGTTTGGACGCCAAAAACCAACGCCGATGACCTAAACCCGAACGCCGTTTTACGAAACCCGAACGCCGGATGGCTTGGTTTTTGGTTTGGGCGAACTCCAAGTGTTTTTAGGCATGTTTAAAACTTAAGAAGAACATTTTTGAATATGCAAAAAGTATTTTGATGATATGTGCCTAGAGAGCCAAGTTTTGAGAGTTTGTGCCGGTCTTGATCACATTAAGACCGACTCAATACAATTCTAAGTCTTCGTTCTTGATTCTTGGTTCTAAAATCATCATGCCATGTTCCTTTGCCTTGGTTTTGCTCACTTTAGCCTTGTTATTGTCGGCGGTTTGGCATTATCAAAACTTGTCATAAAACGAACACGATTTAGTACGACGTAAGCGTAACCCGTGTTCCAACAATTTCCCCCTTTTTGATAATGGAAAATCTGACGGGGATATGCATACTAAGGGATATTTGATTTTCAAAAAGTTGTGAAAAAGTTCCCCCTTAATTTGTGCTTAAAAGAAATTAGTCGGATTAAAATGAAACGGTCTTGTTTTTAGCGGCGTTCCCCCTTAGTATATGCATAGCCCTTTTCTTCCCCCTTTTGACATTAGCAAAAAGATAAAAGAAAATTTTATTTATTAAAGGGAAAAGGCAGAGTACAACGGAAGCAATAATAATAAAAAAAACAAGACAATTGAAGAAAGAAGAGATAAACATTCTAGGTGTGGCCTAGTCTTCGTCTTCGGTTTCCTCCTCGTCGTCGTCGACGTCCATCTCATTGCCATCAATAGTGTCATCGAACTCGTCCTCGTCCAGGGAGTTTGACGGGGTGTATGAGCCATCCTCTTTGTCCTCGTCACCGTACACTTGCCCAAGGAACGTGCCTTGGTATGGTGGGGGGACGTAGTTGAGGCGTTGGAAGTATGCGTTCATGGCGTGCCGCTCAAGGTAGCCATCCATCCCGTCAACTTTGAAGTGAAGCCGGTTGAGGGAGTCGGCGATGGAGGCAAGGTTGGCCCGGGCCTGGGGTTCAGCTGGGCCAGCAGCAGAACAGCGCCGTGGCGCGGCAGTGGCAGTGGCAGGTCCGGCGTTGTCTGACCGCATCTTGAAGGTTTGGGTTCCGATCGCCCAGATCTTCGTGGCCTTTGTGAGTGGGCCACCAGTGGTGGTCACCTTGAACCGTTCAAGGATGTCCATCACCACGAACGGGTACAGGAGGAGGTGATCATGGTCGGTGGACGCGGCGACTGTCATGTTGATCATGAGAAACTTCACCCAATTGATTGGCGCCGAGTGCATGATCGCGTGGGGGAGCTTGAGGTCCTCACCGGACATGATCGTGTGCCCATGCTTCTAGGGCTTGATGATTCGGGACACGATGTAGAGAAGATGCCAGCTCTCGGGGGTTACGGAGTGGATGGTGGGGCAGCCCGAGGCATGACGGATGAGCTCGGTGATGCCAAGCTCATTGAGGATAAGACCCTCGTTGTTGAGCACCCAGTCCTCTCCGGCATAGTGGGAGACGTCGTCGCCTTGGTAGGGGAGGCCGGCGATGCGCTCAAGCTGCTTAACGGAAAGCTCTATCGGCGTGCTCTTGACAAGAGAGTAGAGAACGTCGCCCTCATGCCGGAGGTTGGAGTAGAAGACCCGAATCAGCGCCGGGTTGATCTCCTTCCGAGTACGGGAGACGAACGGCCAAAGGCCGGCCTGGTGAAGCTGCGCGTCTAGATTGTCGTTGCCCTGCAACTCCGGGAAGTGCTCCGGGACAATCCGCGGGGGAGCCACAACCCGTTTAGAGAAGAAGGTGAGAAAACGGGTGCGCTCCTCCTCGGAATCGAACCAGAGATACGATCCGTCGCCATAGTATAGGCGCTCCTCGGAGTTTGTTGACGGTGCCCGGGATTTGGACTTGGATTTCCCGGAAGGGGCAGCCCTGCTCTTGTCTTTGTCCATGGTGAAGAAATCTCAAAAGATTAGAGTAGAGAAGATGAAATTTGTAAAGATATTGAAGAGAATGGTTTTTGTGTGTGTAAAAGTGAGGAGAGGGGGTCCCAATTTATAAGAAAAATGGTTTCCAACGTCCAAACTATCAAAAATATGGCTGTTGGAGCAATAAATGCTGTTGCCAACGGGTATTTTTTTTGAAAAATTTAGTTAGAATAGCGATGTCCCCTATGCTACATCGCTGTCCAGACAGCGCTCTTAAGCTTCCAGACAGCGCTGTTATGCGACTAGTTTTTAAAAACAAGTGTCAAATGGACATCGATGTTGGGTATCCTACATCGATATTTCCAAAGTTTCTGGAAATATGTAAGGGGTTGAACCCATTAGAACAGCGCTGTTGGGTTTCCCTACATTGCTGTTTTACGATAGAAAAAAAATTTGTAACAAATGGACAGCGCTGTTGAATAGGGGGGACACCACTATTTGAAAAGTTTCTCGTTTTGGTTGAAAACAAATTTTTTTGGGTAGACAGCGATGTTGGAAAAAAGGGACTGCGCTGTTGAAAGAGATTCTACAAAGCAAAGAGTAAAGGGACTCCCTGTGACAACGCTGTTGCAGTGTTGTACAGTGCTGTTGGCTCAAACTGGTTGACGGTGTTTCTCTCAACAGCGCTGTTGGGTCTCCTGGACAGCGCTGTTTGCATGGTTCTTCCTGATTTCATGAACGGGGTTCCTGCAAAGTAACACTTTGGTACCCAAAATATTTTTATGGGTCCTTGGAGGTTAATTTGTTTTTATTATCCACACAGACACTGAAAGTTTATTTCCACACACATCTTCACACACTCGGTTTGATGATAATTTAGGGGTTACCTTTGCCAACCCGTCGCCCCGTGGTTGGCGGGTTCCAGTCTACCTGAATGGAATGCCGATATCTCGGTGTGATTTGTGTCGGTTCCGATAACGAAATGTGGACTTTCTTCTTTTCGTCAAAGTAGAAGAAATAGTAAGGTTTCTTTTGTGCATTAGCCTGTGGAGATTTCTTTTCTTTAGCACCAAATATGTTGTGTGTTTCATTATAGGTCAGATGCTTATGTCTAGTAAAACACACGGGAGCTATATGTCCTACCCTATTGCAATAATGGCATACTACGTTTGGGTTGAACATATGCCTAGGTTGATAATAGCTAGGGGGTCTAACCATATTCATCCTATTTTGAGAAAAGGATGTTTTATGCATGTTTTCAAAAGAGTCATTTCTAGGTGTCCTTATGTTATTTCTCCTATTTTGAGAAAAATTATTATTATGCATAAAATCATTTTTCTTAGGTTGTCTACCATGAACATTTTCATTCCTAGGTTTTAGTCTAGGTTGTCTAGTGTCCTTAGGTTGACTAGGTTTTCTATTATCCCGATTTTCAGGTTTCTTACGTTGAGCCTTAGATGGTTGTCTAGATGGTGGCTCAACGTTTTCTTTAACCTTAACTTCATTTTTATTAAAACCTATTCATTCCTTAGAAAAATGCATAGTGTCAAGGAGCAAATTTAAATCTTTGTGCGGAGTATTAAATTTCTTGACCGTACTCTCAAGTTTTGTGACTTGTTCCCTTAAAGCTTTACAAGATTCACATTCGTTTGAGGAACTTTCTGGTTTGTCAGCGCTTCTTTTCCCATAAAATTTATTTTCTTGTTTTAACTTCTCATTATCTTTTTCCAGATTTTCAAAATCATTTTCAAGAGTGGAGAGGCGTTTCTTTAACGATTTGTTGATTTTAGAAGCGCTAACAAATTCATCATAAAGTTCATGAAGTGCTTCTTGCATTTCTTCAAAGGTGTAAGAGTCGGAAGAAATGGTACATACCTCTTGTACATCGTCAGTTTGGTCTCCGTGCGCCATGAGACAGAGGTTGGCAGTTTCATCCTCGTCTTGGTCGGTTGACTCGTCGCCGGAGTCGCCACCCCAAGAGATATATGCCCTTTGCCTTTTGAATTGACGAGCATTCCTTCCGCTTCTCGGGCATCTGTTCCTGATGTGCCCGGCTACACCACATCCATAGCACACAGGGCCATCCTCAACCTTTTCGTTCTTCCTTAGAAGTTTACAAAACTTCTTCATGACAAACTTGACTTCATCATCGTCACTTGAATCATTCATCGTTGATTCTTTGACGACTTTTAATGCTATCCCTTTCTTTTGGTCATTCAAAGACGGGTTAAGAATAGTAGATTCATAGGTTTTAAGATTACCTCTTAGCCCGTCGATGGTGACGTTGGAGACTCTAATGGATTCATAGATTGCATCAGCTTTTGATCTCCATTCGGGGGTGAGACTTCGCAGGATTTTCCTTACGAGATCCTTGTTGGTATATGTCTTCTTAAGAGCATGAAGATCGTTTATAATCTTTGAGAACCGATCAAACATGTCGTCGAGTTTCTCAACTTCCTTCATTCGGAACTGATATGTTCGTTTTGTTCTTATTTTATTCTACATATTTTAAGCGTTATTGCACGAAAATAGTGATAAGCAGTGCATAATTTTATGTTAAACTGAACAATAATTTGGATCATTGCTGGTTTGATTTCAAATGAATGGGCTTGACTAGCGGGGAGACCTATGGGATCTTCCTCTACGTACGCCGGGCTAATGGCTTGAAGGATCGTTCGTCTAGGATTAGCCGCCATTTCTTGTTCCTCTTCCTCCTCTGAGTGTTGATTCTCTTCCTCGCGATTCGCCTCTTCTTCTTCCTCTTCTCTTCGCTCTTCGTCGTTGAACTCCAGTTGACGAGGAATTCTAACGGTACAGCGTCGGAGCAAAAGTTCAGGGTTCTTGGTTCCCGGAAGAATGTTCTCACCGCGAGAACGGGTGTTCATACAATTTTGTAGGCTGGAGAGAGAATCCTAACAACTATCTAGTAAAAACTAAAAATAAAGTTTTTTTTTTGAAAATCGTTTCTATCAACTTTCTTTCAGGCTAACTAAAAAGAAATCTTACTAATAACTTTCTGCGCTGATCCCCGGCAATGGCGCCATTTGATGAGGAATTTTACTTTAACGCAAAACTCCCGTAGTAGTAAAGGGAACAGACTAGATCTTCTAAAAGATCAGTTTATCCCGTGTCGTCTCATGGATCGGCCCAAAGGAAAGTTAAGCAAGACTAGTTAGACAAGATTTACTCAATGAATCAAAAAGTTTTCAAAAGGTCGAATAAGGAATGGAGATTGAATTTTTATCTTTCAGAAATAAAAGGTAGGGATGTAATTATTGGTTAGGTGATGGTTCTTTTTAGAGTAAAATCACCAGTTACTTTTACCTTAAATCTTTTTGCTAGTAAGTAAACATCTTTTCAATTATTTACTTAACAATCAATCCAATGTCTAAAGATCAAACTACTGGACTTGACTTAATTAAATTCCAGATTTTTCAAGAAATATAATTTTCAAAAAAAATAGATTTGCTTTCTCTCGATTTACAAATCTCAAGTATAAACTCTTAGTAATAAAAACTAGTAAATTCTCTTTTATAATTCAACTCAATGATTCTCTCAGAAAATTACCATCACCATTCCAATAATCATACCACCAATTAATTTAGCTACTCATAATAAAAACTTCCAACACACATGCATCATAAGAAGACATTTTTCAGTTGATAGTAAAAAGTTAACAAACTTACTTCAACAAATCTGAAGAACTGAGATCCGGGCTACAATTTGCTCCGTGAAAACTCCAAGGAATAATACTAATCTAAAATATGAAAGTGGCTTTGTAAATCTAGACTAAAATGGAGAAATTCGGGTTTTTGGGAGAAGAGGGGCGCTGTGTAGCGTGTTAAATCGGAGAGAGGGAGTGCTGTATTTATAGGATCAGACGCGAAGCGTCCAACCCCCAGCCGTCCGGATCCAAAGCGTCCAAAGTTGGACGCCTTACGCGGCCCGTCCATTCGCTGCTTGCCACGTGTCATTCTTGACGCCCAATCATCGCCAAGCGTCCAACCTGCAAAGCGTCCAAGGTTGGACGCTTCGGGCCTTCTCCTGTGGGCTTTTTCCGCGGCTTGATCCTATTCGGGCCCAATTTTCAATTTTCACTTTGCTTCGTAGTCTGTTTCAGTTTCCTCCAAAATTCTCATGATAAAAATCTCAGTTAAAAAATTTTCTTTCTTTCAAATATAAGTAGAAAAATCAACAATCAAGACGAGACAGATTTTAAACCAATTATTATTCCTTAAAGAACAAATCAAAGATATTGTTCAGTTTAACATAAAATTATGCACTGCTTATCACTATTTTCGTGCAATAACGCTTATAATATGTAGAATAAAATAAGAACAAAACGAACTTATCAGGAACATTTCATATTCTTGGGTGAGAAAGTTGATCTTGGCTTCACGCACTTGATCGGTACCTTCGTACGTCACTTCAAGCTTGTCCCACATCTCCTTGGCAGTTGTGCAACAGGAGATCTTTCGGTAGTCGTCGGGGTTGACCGCACAATATATCATGTTGATGGCCTTTGCATAGTTTTCAACCTTCTTGATGTCTTCGGCATCAAACTCGTCCTCGGTCTTTGGGATGGTGGTTTCTCCCACTTTCTTCATAGGGATTTCTTCGTCGTTTTTTATCACCAGCCACAATTGGAAGATGGTGGAACGGATATAGTTTCTCATCCATTCCTTTGAATAGGAATAGTTGGTGCCATTAAAGAGTGGTAGCCTAGAAGTTGATTGACCTTCTCCGATTCCTGCATAGAGATTTCTAGAAGAAGAACCCATGATCGCTTTACTCTCAAACGGTAAAGTTTGGACGCGAGTTAGGCTTCGATACCAATTGTTAGAATAATAGACCAACGCTAGAGGGGGGGGTGAATAGCGTTTGATCAAGAAATCACAGGAATTAAAAACAAATAAAAGAGAAGTAGAGAAAAGAGTAAAAGGCACACCGAATTTACCCTGGTTCCCCACAACTTGTGGCTAATCCAGCTTCCCGAGAGACTCTCTCGAGCTACACTACTTCCGTTAAGCTTACGGGTGCTTAACAAACCATTACAACTTGAGAACTCGAGTCCCACGAGCCTAAACAACACTTGCTCGGAGATACCGCACTCCAAGACTTCAACCCGAAGGAAAGTACCTTTCCTTCATACAACCAAGGGAAACAAACTTCCCTTAATGTCTATAAAAACTAAGAACACTCAAGAACAAGGTTCTTTCAAAAGAGTGAATATGAGTAAAGTAATACGCTCAAAATCACAACACGAACTTCACAAAAATGGCTCTCGAAAAGATATGAATAATGTATGAATAATATGCAATGAAAGAATAGGAGTTGTGAAGTAATGTGTTATGTAAAACAGATCCAAACACCCCATTTTATAGTGGAAAAATAGGCTCCAACGGATCAAAACATTTAAGGGGTGATTGGCACAATTTGTGGGATTTGATTAAATTTGACTCTGCTGAAATTCACCAGACAGCGCTGTCCTAGGCTTGGACATCGCTGTTCTAGGCTTGGGTTTTGAAAAGTGGGAAGCAACGGTTATGCCAACAGCGATGTCCAATACCCCTACATCACTGTTTTGGCTGTTGACTTCCAAACAACGAAAGTTTTAGCCTTAAATTCCTTCCAACGGTCAGGTCCCTACATCGATGTTCATTACTTGAACATCGCTGTTTAGGTCTGACTTTGAAGGTGGAAAGTTTGGCCTGACACCGCTGTTGCTGAGTCAACATCGCTGTCCAAAAACTTTCTGCCAATGTATTTGGTTTTGGCTTAGGTTGGACAGCGATGTAGGGTAGTCTACATCGATGTTCTAGATGTTTCTGGAAACCCAACCTTGGCTCAACAGCAATGTCTAACATCCAACATTGTTGTTGGAAGACTTAACGCCAAACCATGGCTTTCAGCTTCCCATGCCGGACAGCGCTGTTGGTTACACCAACATCGCTGTTGGGCTGGTTTAGCCAGACACATGGTTGGTTTAGTCATGCCGTTAGCCAATGACAGAAATGTATGTTCTCCAAAATAAAAACCAAGTATTGAAAAAATTTGTTTAATGCAAATCAAGTAAAACATTTTGAAAACCACGTCATTTAGTTGAAAACCACGGCTAGCCATGTTTACGCCGTTTCGCATGGTTTTCACTAAACGACCAAAAACGAGGGATGGTTTTTGAAGCGTTTTTGTTGGAGAACTATTTAAATATTCCCAGAAGTAAAAACCAATCATTAAAAGTTGAAAACCACTTGGTTGGTTCGGACGCCAAAAACCAACGCCGATGACCGAAATCCGAACGCCGGTTTCCGAAACGCGAACGCCAGATGGCTTCGTTTTTTGTTTCGGAGAACTCCAAGTGTTTTTAGGCATGTTTAAAACTTAAGAAGAACATTTTTGAATATGAAAAAAGTATTTTGATGATATGTGCCTAGAGAGCCAAGTTTTGAAAGTTCGTGTCGGTCTTGATCACATTAAGACCGACTCAATACAATTCTAAGCCTTCGTTCTTGATTCTTGGTTCTTGGTTCTCAAATCATCATGCCATGTTCCTTCGACTTGGTTTTGCTCACTTTAGCCTTGTTATTGTCGGCGGTTTGGCATTATCAAAACCTGTCATAAAACGAACACGGTTTAGTACGACGTAGGCGTAACCCGTGTTCCAACATCCATAACCAGATTCTTAAAAGGCAATTATTAATCAGACACTTAAATTATCATTAGTTTAAGGCAATTGATTTCGGACACTTAACTGTAGTCAGTTAAGGCTATCACACACTTAAACTATCATTAGTTTAAGGCAATCGATTTCGGACACTTAACTGTAGTCAGTTAAGGCAATAACAATATAGCGAATGATCAACATTGGATCGGGCATTCCCAAACGAGTAATCCTCTAGCTTGGTCTATGAATCCCGTTTATGCATTTTCATCTAATTCATCAACTGTTTATGTTTTCATAAGTTCATCCTAAAATCTTTTCTAGAGGTATTCTAGATAGTCTTAACATCAAATAGCTAATAGGCATATCTTAAAGTCTTCTAGATATCCTTAACAATAGACATCATTTTCTTGTTGATCAATTTATTCATTTTGAATTATGGTTCAATATTTCATAATCATAATTTAGTTCAAGATAGTCAAACAACATATTTACTCATAATTTCATCTTTACGGTTCTTTCGTTCAATTCCATACATTTTTATTTGTCATAATAAAATCATGATCGTTATGTAGTCATAATTACTCGGTTCGTCCATTTGATCATCATAATCAATATTTATTATCAATGATATTCCATTAACCATTATAATAACCATTTATTCAGGATATTATCAAGGTTTGATTCTAATAGTCATAATAACATATATTAACAAATTACGGCCTAGTTTCGAGTGTTAACACCCGTACTTACCTTCATGCATCACATAATGTTTTATATGTCAAAAACATCATTTTTATTGTACAAAAATCATATTTATATTGTTCATAATTAATTGGTATCAAATATAGGATTTTGGAGCTCAAAAATAGCATTTTTCGTAGTTGACTGTGTTCGGAACGGTCGACCGTTTCAGGCGACGGTCGACCGTCGTTGCCTCCGTTGCACTGAAGCTTTTGGTCCGGTAACAGTCGACCGTGGTGATGGTACGGTCGACCGTTGCTGCAGAACAGCAACAGTTCTTCATCTTCATCTTCGGGTCCAATTTTCGAAACATCATTTTAAGTCACCAATCTTCAATTAAACTATATAGAAATGTTCTCCAATGTTCATAGATCATTTAAATACCATTAATTCAAAGTTTTAACAACAATTTCAAGGTTTATGATTTTTGGTTCTTCAAGCATGTCAAACACCAAACTCAACCAAACGACCGTTTATGAACGTAGAAACGATCTATACGAACATTCTAGTCACTAGATATATCTACGGGCTTACCTCAAAGCTTAATGAAGGTTTTGGAAATTTTCCGGCGAAACTTCCGGCGAGGTTTGTGCCTATCTCCGGCGACTTCACACCAAATTGACAGCACCACAACGTTCTCTACACTCAAGACTATCTCTCAGAACTTATTTGAACAAGAATAGTGAAGAAATGGTGAAGTTTAGGGAGTTTATATAGTAGAGATGAGAGGAAGAAGACATGGAAACTGAGTTGTTGCTGTGTAGACTTCCAATTTGCGATCTTCATTTGGCGGAGGTGCGATTTTAGGCGATTCACCACGTTACTTCCCTGATTGGGACTAATTTGGTCCCAGTCGGGATACACTTTTTGGTCCAACTTTCTCTGATTTGAATTCCGTTTGCACCATTGCGATCAAATAGTCGAACTCTATCTAACGGAATAATCTTTGTATGTATTTGAAATACTTTTTCTGACATCATATTTTTAACTTTGACACAATCAAAATTGGTTTAATTGACCTTTCTCATAAAGGTTCTCTCATTTAATTCATATCAATTATTCTCATGATTTATTTCAACAAATCATTACAAAGTTCACATCATAATTAATTTATTCATTTATTCTTGATTTGTGTATGTACTCAGGTTCCCAATCAAGGTTACACAATAAGTCAATCATGTTGGATTTATCTTTATGAGATTTGTCCCAATTATGTTTATTGGGTATCAATGCATATTTTATTCTGGCCCAAAGCCCAACAATAATTTATTTTAATGAAATTAAATTTGATTAATTGGATAATTATCTATTAATAATTCTATGGTATGTTTTGGGGCGTTACAAATAATGTAAATCAAACACTAAATGTAAATTTTCTATATGTAGAAATCTTAAAAATGTTAAGGCTAATGAATGAGGGGCTATAAATTGGCGTGTTTATATATGGAAATTTCATATAAGGAGTCAAAATTTGAAGAGTCAAAATTTCAAATGAGGGGCTGCCCTTCAGTAGCCAAATTTGGATTTCCAATTTATGAAGGGTACGCAGAGTATCCCTAACACGAAGCCAATCACATGTATCTAAAGTATGAGATGTAATGAAATTGAAAGATATCAATTTGAACAAAAAACAGATTTTAAACCAGACTAAGCCAAGTTTATTAGTGATACCATGGCATCTCTATATTTAAATTATTGTTCCAATAGAGAACTATATAGAATAAAATATGCAAAAAAGTCCATTTACTTCCTCACTCTCAGAGGCGCATAATTTCATCACACATCGTTAGTATGAATATCTATCAAAGACATGTCTAAAGTATTAAAATACCTAAAGCAAGTAGAGTATATAGGGGAAGAGGAAGCAGCGTGGGCGGATTAATTTCACACGGCTTCGACATATGGATTAGCAATCAGACGGGTTTAGACCCCGTCGATTGAAAAACCTCCTGGCCGCGTGGCATGAAAATAACACCAACTCAACGGAAGAAAAACATGGATAATATACCAAAATAGGAATAAAACATTGATAATATATCAAAACATGAGTAGAGAAAATGATTAATTTTTGACACTGAAATAATATGTGTGCAAATCAACTGGAAATGGAGAGTACTTTTATTAATGATGAAACAAGAGGCAAAATCCCATTAGAAGACTCATAGGTCATGGCAGTGGAAAAGGAGAAAACCAAATCAAATTAAAACTCCTCCTAAATTGACAACGTGACATGGTGTGTTTGGGAGAAGACCAAATCGAATTAAAACTCCTCCTAAGAAGGATCTGGACGACTAGAACTAGAGCTTGCGAGAAGAGGAAAGCTTCTAGTCATACATAGTATTTAAGTTAGTTGGATTGATAACTCAAAAAGAGGAAAAAGATTTACCGTCTTAGTGCTTAAGATATTGCTTCTGCTCGAGTCCATTAAAGAAGCCTAAAGGGCTGCTTCTGCTCGAGTCCATCGCTGGAACAGTGGAGGTCATTCCCTGTCACCACCGGTCACTGCCTCTGTCACCGTAGATGCTAAATCGCCGAAATTTCGCCGCCGTGGGTCTGCATCGCTGCGCTTGCTAAGGATAACCAGGGATTGCTGTCGCTGCTGCTCTCGTCGCTGATTGGGAAGAATTGGAGAAGAAGGTCATCGCAGCTAGGGATTGGAGAAGAGAGGGGCGGAAGAATTCTTTGATCGAGGAGAAAGAAAAAGAGGCGAAAAGTGAAAAAGGGAATTAGGAAGAGGGAGGTGAAATTGGGAAGAGGGAAAACAAATTTAGGAAGAGGGAAATGAAAATTTTTAGAGATTGTGATATTAAATATCAAAACATATTTCATTTCGTCCCAAAGGCAAAAATTAGTTTATTTTAATTAAAACAAATTTAATTAATTATATCTGGCAAATAAGATACAACCTTGACAATTAAATTTATTTTTTTGAAGATTAGATGTGATCTTATTGAATTTGAATTTTATTTGATCCGATTAGATCTACTTGGGCCTGATTCGATATAATTAGATCTGATCTGATGCATTTAATGTTTATATCACAAAAATAAGACACAACCAACACAAGTAAATTGTTTTTAAGATAAGATTTGATCTTATTGGATTTGAATTTGATTTGATTTGATCTGTTTTGGTCTAATTAGATTTAATTTGATCAGACCTGATGCATTTATAGATTAGATCAGGAAAACAATACACGACCTATATAATTAAATTGTTTTTTTTTGAAGATTTGATCTGATCTTAATGTATTTGAATTTTACTTGATCTGATTAGATTTATTTTTTTCTGATTGAATCAAATTAGATCTGATATGATGCATTTAATGATTAGATCATGCAAATATGACACGACCTATACAATTAAATTGATTTTTTAAATATTTGATCTGATCTTACTAGATTTGAATTTGATTTGATTCAATATTTTTGAAGATTTGATCTGATCATATTGGATTTGAATTTGATTTGATTTGATCTTAATGTATTTGAATTTTACTTGATCTGATTAGATCTATTTTTTTCTGATTCAATCAAATTAGATCCGATATGATGCATTTAAGGATTAGATCAGGCAAATATGACGACACGACCTATACAATTAAATTGATTTTTTAATATCTGATCTAATTTTACAAGATTTGAATTTGATTTCATCTGATCTTATTGGATTTGACTATGATTTATTCTGATTAGATCTGTTTTTGTCCGATTTGATCTAATTAGTTCAATTAGTTATATTAAAAACTCTTTTAATTTGATCTAGTCTAATATGATATGATGAGATCTGATTTCATTAGATTTCATCTAAACAACCTATAAACATGTTAAATTGAGATGTAGTGGCTCACATGAAATATGCAAACAATAAGATCCGATTCATTTCGATTTGATGTTATCTTATCGTATCAGATTAGATCTAATCTGCTAGATCTAATTCTAGTTATATTTAAAAACTCTTTCTAACTTGATATGGTTCAATCTAATTTCATTAGATATCATCTCAATAACATATAAACATGTTAAATTGAGATGGAGTGGGTCGCATGAAATATACAAGCAATCAGACCTGATTGGATTTGATTTGATCTTATCTTATCTTATCTCATTAGATCTAATCTTGACTGATTTAATTGGAATAGATTTAATCTAATTGATCTAATTGTAGTTATATTTAAAACTCTTTTAAATTGATTTGATTTAATCTTATTTGAGGAGATCTGATTTGATTAGACATGATCTAAACAACATATAAACATGTTAAATTTAGATGTAGTGATCTGATTTGGTATAATATTATCTGCCTGTGGTTTTTGAAGTAGAATAAGTCAGAGAGTATGAACGATGGTGCCTTTTAAAAAAATTGAGATGAAGAGTATAAAAAATCAATTTTAAAAAATTAAAATTGAGACGAGAATATATTAAAATGTACTATATTTTTTAAAAAATAAATTAATGTTAAATCTTTTAAGGAATTTGTTAGAAATGAAATCTAATAATTTAACCTAAAATTGAAGGAATACATAATTTCTTGTCATAATGAATTGAAATGTTAATATGCCTTGAATATATATTGTGTTGTCACTCCACAAATTAGTAAACGGGGGTCCGCAATATGCTATGTTGTTGTATTGGGCTCTAAACATTAATAACATTTTATTTTACTCCCTCCATCCTAAATTTAACTTCTCACTTTCCTTTTGAGGATGTCCTAAAATTATCTTCCCATTACTTAAAATGGCAACTTCTACTATACCAAATGACAATAATACCCTCTAACCTATCCTTTCTTTTTTCCTTCCTAATTCTCACGTCCTCCTTTAACCCCAACCTCATCCGTTTTCTTTAATTTCTTCTTAATTCTAACTTCTACTTCTCATAATCTCATCCCAGCGACCTTCTCTTTCTTATCTCAAATCTCAGTTTTCCTTTTCGATTCGAATTTCCTTTCCCTTCACGAGATTTCATTTTTTTGTCTTTGATTTTGTTTTCGTTGCACTGCACCTTTGTCTCTAGAATAAAATTGCATTTATGATNTGATTATCTTTCTTCGTATCTACTGATATACATGAAGCGTATATATATGCAAAAAAAATTTATTTCAGAACAGATGAATCAATTTTGTTCCAAAAGCTTGAATTTGTTGGATATATATGCTTGTGGTGGTTGGATGATTTTTGTTGGAGTTAGGCAAGCTCACATCAATAATCAGGGGCAGCGAAGTAGAAGAAGGGTTGAGGGGCAATTTTGAAAAGTCAAAGGAATTTTTACTCTTTCTTAAAAATGAGCTCAAGTCAAAACAGGAAGTTAAATATAGGACGGAGGGAGTAGTACATTCTCTTTTTTTACTTCTATTTTCAGATTAAAAACATTAATATTCTATTTTAGTACATTCTCTCTTTTTTACTTCTATTATGAGTGATAGCATTATAAAAAATTACTAATTTTTTTGAAATAAAAAATACAGAGTAAAAAGTTAAACTAATTAAAGATATAAAATCTAAAAATGTAAAACATAGCAGGGTAGAGGGGATGAAAAAACAGATAAATGTTTTGACAAAAAAAGGAGAGGAAAAAAATAGGAAAAGAGTGGGAAAATATTAGGTTAAAAATTTCATCCACAAAACCTTTAACCCAAAGTCATTGAGCCGCCACTTAGATTAGGAGTTGTAGTTTCTCGTTCTCGCCAGGAACAGTGTCACAGGAACGAGACTTACTCCTCTTCCTTCGATTTTAGTTCATTTTGCGTGATCTTTGGAGCCTGGGGTGTGCCATCAGATGGCGTATCCGTTCATGAGGTTTTTTTGCTGATATTGGTGAAGAATATTTGAAGAAATGGAAGTCAACGATATTTCTCGCACTGTTCATTCGAATTTTTGTCCCTTTGATTCACTTCGATCCGGACACTTTTGATGGGTAATCTTCTGGTATTTTGAGCGATTTGGAACCCTATTCCTTGGTATGAAGTTGGATTTCAATATTGTTTCAATTTCATCTCGATTTAAGGGTTTTTGGATTTCGTATTACTGTTCACAGCGTGAACTTGGATTGTGTTTATGCTCGTTTTTTTGACCTACTTATTTCGGATTCTACGCTGGTATTGTGAGAGATTATTCATATTTTTCTAATAACACCTCTTTTGAGTTGCCTTTGTGATTTAATTTTGTGAATTAAACTACTGTTCTTGATGAGTTGGAACTGTCTCTTGCCCTTCGAATTATTTCTATTTAACGGACTGTAAGACCTACGTGATGGGTTTATGTTCTGGGTTTATTTTCTCTTGATGCTGCTATTGTAATGTTAATTAAACAAACTCTTTACTTTTGCCTTGAATTTACGGTTGCTGGAGTGGTGGAGCTGCAAAATTGATTTTGGACTATTTTAACTGTATTTTTGGAACTGCTATTTCTACTGAAAATTTCAATGGAACTGTGTGATTAAGCCTTGGGGCTGTCACGATTTGACAAATTGTGGCAATTTGATGTTTGAATGATACTTATTCTGGAGGTCAACCCGTGCGGCTGCAGTAGCTATTTTGTTGTGCATTTGGGCTTGAAATGGAGCTGAAATGGCAGTGCTGGGGCTCCTGTTTTGGCCTCCAAAAGGTTGAAATGAAGCTGCTGGAATTTGAATATTCACTGGTAGTTTAGGCTAACTTGGTAATGGAAGTTTGACTTTGGCATTGGGCATCGTGTGGGGTGGTACTGCTGTTTTTTGGAGCAGATTATGGTAAGATTAACATTTCACCCGCCTCTATTTGACGCATTACCTTGGAGGATTAAATTGGACCTGATTTTTGAAATACTTTTGACTGAGTTTTTGTGAAACCTGTTTCTTGGGGAGGGAGTACATATTGGTGAACTTGATATCTCGCAACTTGATTAGAATCTAGAAACTATAATAACCTTGGTGTTACTTATATTAATAACATTGGATAGTGCTTGTATTGGTATGTGGTACTATGTATAAACCTTTATCATAATTAAAATGACAATGATTTGGCTTTACCTTAAATTTCTTGGATAGTCATCCATTATTTTCACAATGATGTGCCTTAAATCTATTGGCATTTGATATTATATGGCAAATGGTTATAATTCTTATAATTCCTAGCATCCATGATACACAATTTGAGCTTTAAGAGTTCTAATTTAGACACATGAGAGTTTTCGTCTTTTAATTTCAGTTTGTCAAGAGTTGGTAATGATTAAAATTCAATGACATAAGTGCTTCAATTCAACCTCATAGATTATATGCACTGCACTTTTTGGCTTAATTGTTTTGTTGTTTTGTCTTATGGAGTGATCATGTTCTTGAAAGTTGAACTATCATTGATACATCCTGCTTATAGACCATATGTAGAAGCATGACATTGTGTTTATATATTGATTTTTGAATTTTAAATGTTGATTTTGAATAAAATCAAAACTGAATTATTTTTTATTTAGAAAAATCTACAACTTTGCTTGATTTCTAAGCTAAATTATGAACTTCAATTGTTAAATAGATGCATATGGACTACTTTGGAGCTATTTAGTTTGCAAATAACTCCAAAAAGTTTCAAGTATTTTTGTTATGAACTCTTTCTTGTTATTAACAAACTTTCATTTTAATTATTTAATGGTATGCAGATTGAGGACTAAAGAGGATGCTTTACAAGAAAATGTTGCTAGAGCAAGAGATGTATTCAAAAATGTTATTGAGGGGACAAAAAACTAAATTCGGCATGCTGAATGAACAATTAGAGTGATTTTAATGATGTAAATATTAAATTATTGGATGTTATTTAGACTTGGATTGTATGTATTTAGATATTATTCAACACATTCTACATTTTAGAATTTATTTTTGTTTCATGATCAATATTTTGGAATTGAATTAAATTTTATTAATTAAATATAAATTGAAATATAGCAGTCTTTCAAACAGCTTTACGATGTATTAAAACAGTTTTCTAAATCTTTAAAGGACAACTACACAAACCTGGACTGTTAATAAACGTTAGACAATACAAATAAACAGTCGTGTGATATACAACAAATATAGTTGTTTACATTTTACAAATACAACACAGAATAGCAGTTGTCTTACGCAAACATACTTAGTTGTCTTCGGAGCAGTAGTCTGATTTACAATCTGACTACTATGTAAGAAGATAGTTTGAATATTTCAAGGACAGCTACAAAAAAGCGTTGTGTTATTGTGTACTATACAAGTGAAAGAAACGATTGTTTAAAATACAACAAAATTAGTAGTATATTTTTTAGAAACATAACACAAGATAACAGTTGTATTATGTTATTTTTGTTTAGTAGTCTTCCAAGCAGCAGTCTGATATATCTTTCAACTACTTTTAAAATTAGATGTCTATATTGCTGAACGACAACACCACGCAATAGGAGTCTGAAGTCGAAAACAACAGTAATATTCATTATAGATAGACAACAAAACATCACAGTTGTCTTTAACTCCAAAAAACAGATGTCTTACTCATACGAGGACATCTTCAAACACATGTACTCTGAAACATCACAAAATAGGTGTCGTCAACCGTATTACACAATTGTTTTTATATAGTAGTCTATAAATATCAGAAAGCTGCTCGGAAGACTACTGAAACTAGCACAGTTAGACTACTAAAAAGAACAGTTGTCAGCATCTGTTTTTAACGTAGTGTATCAAGGTACCAAAGTACACTTGACGCCTTCAAGCACACCTACAAAAATGATTTAATAAGATTTAGGTATCCAAGTCTTTTTGGGTCCTTGAGTGTTAGGTGCAAAGTGGTAGTGTGATTCGTTTTGTGCCCAATGTCTATGCTTAGTAAAGCAAACGGGAGCTATATGTCCTATTCTATTGCTATAATGGCAAACTACGTTTGGGTTGTACATCCTCCTAGTTTGATAATAGTTGATAGGGGGCCTAACCATATTCATCCTATTTTGGGAAAACATTGGTTTTTGAAAATTCTCTGTTCTAGGTGTCCTGGCATTATTTTGTCTATTTGAAAAATTATTTTTGTGCACAAATTCATTTTGATCATTTTTCTTAGGTTGTCTAACATGTACATTTTCGTTCCTAGGTTTTTGTCTAGATGTCTAGTGTCCTTAGGTTGACTAGATTTTCTATTTGTTAAAACACGGGTTTGTCACGTTTTCGTACTAAAGCCGTGTTCGTTTTTGTGACAGGTTTTAATAATGCCAAACTGCCGTGATCAAGACACAAATTGAATATACAAGGTGAAGAACAAAGATAAGAACAAGAGCTAAACGAAGACCATAGTCTTAGTATCGTTGAGTCGGTCCTTATTGTGATCAAGACCGACCCAATCTTTTCACCTTGGCTCATTAGGCTAAAATCTTTACATTGAATTTATTACATCATAAAAATGTTTTTCAAACATGTTTAAGTCATCAAAAACACTTGGTGTTCGCCCAAACCAAAAACCAAGCCATCCGGCGTTCGACTTTCAGAAACCGGCGGTCGGCTTTTGGTTATCGGCATTGGTTTTTGGCGTTCGAACCAACCAAGTGGTTTCCAAAATTTTATGATTGTTTTTTACTCTTTGGCATGTTTAAACAGTTCTCCAACAAAAACACCTTGAAAACCACCTTTCGTTTTTGGTCGTTTGGGAAAAACCACGTAAAATGGCATAAACTTTCCTAGCCGTGGTTTTTACACAAATGAAGTGGTTTTTAAAGTGTTTCACTTGATTGCTAAGCCAAATACATCAAATAAGTGTTTTAAATACTTGGTTTTTAGTTTGGAGAACTTTGGATTTTTCGGTCGGTTTTTGCATCGGTTGGCTAGGCCGTGGTTAAGGCAAAAACCATAGGTTTTTGACTAACCATCCACCCAGCGATGGGAAGATTTACCCATCAATGGGTAAGCGGTTCTTTAGCACAACCAAGTTCCAGAAACATGCCATCGCTGTTACAGCCTTGGTCCAACATCAACACAAGGCAGAACGACCTTACCCAGTGAGGGGACTTTACCCCATCATTGGGAACCCAGAGATGGGAAGGAATAAACATCGATGGGAAGGCATGACCGTTGGAAGTCATTTAAGGTTGATTCTTTCCTTGTTTGGAAGTCAACCTCCCACCCAGCGATGGGAAGCTTGTACCCATCGATGGGTAGGTGACCGTTAGCTTCAAAACTGAAGGAAAATTGGCCTACCAGCGATGGGTAGAAAGCATACATCGCTGGGAAGCCAATATCCTGCAGATCCACAATTTATTCAATCCCATAAATCAAGCCAATCACCCCTTTAATGTATTGGTCCGTTGGAGACTATTTTGGCACTATAAAAAGGGGTGTTTGGGTCTGCTTTTCTCATCAATTCACTTCACAATTCTCATACTTTCATTGCATTCAAACAACATTCTTTTCCATAGCTTTTTAGAGCCAATTCGTGTGAAGTTTGAGTTGTTCTTGAGCATACTTAGTTTACTCAATATCTACTCTAAAAGAGAGTCTCGTTCTTGAGTGTCTTTGTGTTCTTAGACACATAGAGAGAAATTATTTCTCTCGTTTGATTCAAAGGAAGGGATGTTTCCTTTTAAGGAGTTGTTGAGGTTCGTGTGACTCGAATTCTCAAGTTGTAAGGGTTTGTTAAGCACCGTTAAGCTTAACGAGATAGTAGTGTAGCTCGAGAGAGTCTCTCGGGACGCTGGACTAGCCACAAGTTGTGGTGAACCAGGGTAAAATTCGGTGTGCCTCTTACTCTTCTCCTTACTTCTCTTTTGAATTTTTAATTCCTGCGATTTCTACGATCAAACGCTATTCACCCTCCCTCTAGCGTTGGTCTATTATTCTAACAATTGGTATTGGAGCCTAACTCGCGTCCAAACTTAACCGTTTGAGAGTAAAGCGATCATGGGTTCTTCTTCCAGAAATCTTTATGCAGGGATCGGAGAAGGTCAATCAACTTTCAGGCCACCGCTCTTTGATGGCACCAACTACACTTATTGGAAAGAGCGGATGAGAATTTATATCCTCTCAACCAACTTCCAGTTGTGGTTGGTCATCAAAAATGGCGAAGAAACGCCAATGAAGAAGGTCGGTGAAAAACTCGTCCCAAAGACCGAGGACGAATTTGATGCCGAAGACATCAAAAAGGTGGAGAACTACGCCAAGGCAATCAACATGCTGTACTGCGCGGTCAACCCCGATGATTATCGCAAGATCTCTTGCTGCACCACCGCCAAAGAAATGTGGGACAAGCTGGAGGTCAGATACGAAGGTACGGACCAAGTTCGGGAAGCCAAAATTGATTTCCAAACACAGGAGTACGAGATGTTTAGGATGAAGGAAGGCGAAAAGATCGATGACATGTTCGATCGGTTCTCCAAGATCATCAATTGGGTATGTCGAAACACCCATTCCAATGACATGTTCGATCGGACTCTATGGAAAAAGGAATCTCTCCTTTAACAATTGGGTATGTCCAAACACCCATTCCAATGAGGAATCTTCAAATCCCAATCTTCATTCAAAATTGAAGCCAGCAAATGCAACAGATAGTCTATTTTGATTCAACGGAGAGATTATCCAATCCAGCTATAAATAGCATCCTTGGAAGACTGGGGAAATATAGACAATAACTCATCAACAATAAGAAGAACAACCACAAAGAGGCTACCTCATTCACAGTTAGCCCAAAAAGCTTGATAAAGAGAGATTTCTAAACTCCTTATCCAGAAGCAAACTTCTCCTCCTTCCAAAAAGCTATAGTGTAAATACTTGAAGGTTTCCTTGCCTCAAGTACCACACCACGTTGAAGGATACAACTTTTGATCAAACTTATTGATTGAAAGGGGGTAGGTCAACTTTCTTACAAGTTGGTCTTGCAAGTCCTATTGTTCGGACCTTGCAGTTGTTGAAGAAGCGTGACCTT